TAGCCTTAGCACAGGTGTATATAGACTGTAGAAAGAAAAAAAAAAAAATTAAAAATAATTATATATATGTATGTATTATCTCATACTGAGGTGATGGTGAACTGAGGTATTTACCTTCTATGTCCATATGTGTAATAAAGCATAATTTTTTTAATTACTATTGAGTATCGCATTCGGTCTAATATGTAACCGCTTTTTTGTGAATCTTTTTCACGCTCATTTTTTGCTGCAGGGTGCCCAGGCACCCTGGGGTGCCTTGTGTTTCTTCAGGGGTGCCTTGGCAAAATGTCTAAAAATTGCCCAAAATTTGTATCAAGCCAGTGGGTGGAACAAGCCTGCCTTTTTAGGCACAGGCTTTGTGCACCATTACGACCTTCTAGCCGTTGGCATCCTGACAACCAATGACATCATTAGTTAAGGAGCATGTCAGATGCCTGTACAGCATCCTAGTTTGACCCTTCTGCCCCTCTCCATCACTGCTGGGGTCACATCAGCTCAGGGATGGAGAAAAACTGAGGGAGAAGAGAAACACTGGAATACTAGTCAGTACCTTTTGTGCAAAAGCATATTTGCTTTGGAAAAATAAATCACCTCTACTGTTGGGTGTCCTACATTTGTGGATTTTGCTGTGTTATATAAAACTATTAGAATAGTTTTTCACATTTTAGAATGGGGTGCCTCTAGACTGTCCATAATTTTACAGGGTGCCTCGGGACTGTCCATAATTTTAAAGGGTGCCTTGACTGAAAAAAGGTTGACAAACTGTTTTAGGTCATACACCAGAGCTAGAGAATGTCACCAGCACACCACAGATCTCCAGAAAGGGTCCAAAGCTCTATCCAGTGATCACACCATTGCTTCTGTTATAATGATGTGATCGCATAATAGTTTTGGATCCTTTCTGTAGATCTGTGGTGTGCTGGTGAGATTCTCTCCTTCGGTTCGAGACGTTGGTTGCTGCAGCACCCATTAACACTTAGTCACCTTGCAGGAACATGTGCTTTGGGAACAGTATGTTAGTTCATACACAATGAGTTATTGAGTTTAGATATATATATATATTATCTCTTGAGAATTTGTAACTGTTTTGACAAGTTTAGAGCTATATACTGTAGTAGTTTTCCTATGGGTCATACATACCTATAGTATATATATAGATATATATAGATATATATCGATCTCTATCAGGACAGAATTTGTAACTGTTTTCGACAAGGTTGGATGAAGCCATATACTGTAGTAGTTTTCCTATGGGTCATACATACTGATGTGCAAGTTGGGGCTCTAAAAGGCCTAGGTTACAGTATGAGTGATTTCTAGTGGCTCATATGCCTCAAAATCATCAGCAATTAATAGTGAAACTCTGGACCATTCGATCACTAAATAGAAGAAGCAGTGGGATTTTTTGGTGTGAAATTTGTACAGTAGCATGTAGTAGTGACTGTTATTTCTTACAGTTGTATGATCTCATTTTAATGCTATTGTGTAGCAAAAGTCTAGTTTTCGTATGAAATGGGGGCTCTGATGTGAATGGGGGGGGGTCTCAGATGTGAGGGAGCTTTCTTTGTGACATAAAAGGGGTTGTGATGTAAGCTTTAGGCTCTTATGTGAGAGGGACTCTGATGTGCAAAGTTGGGGCTCTAATGTGAATGGTACCTTGCACACGGGCTTCCCTGGGGGACATGATTGACCCTAAGGTTAAGGAGGTTCTTTTCATCATACTCTGATGTGAAGGGCGCTAATTTTGTTCTAAGTGAACACTAAACACTTTTGTGGGCCCATGCTTTTGTGATAGGCAGTGACTCTTCTTATTCTTTGGAGATGTGAAAGGGGGTACCCTGGGAGTTCTGCACGGAGGTGAACGCAGTGTGGTGCTCTGAAACTTCTGTGAAACAGACAAATCCCTGATGTGTCAAGGGTGCTCTAATGTAGCGCACAGCAAACAGGCATCTTCTTTTCTAAGTGGTCTCTTGGTATGTTTCAACATCTTGCCCTTTCTGCCACGACCAGGTGAGTGCCCTTTGTGAATTTGGGTGCTCTAATGTGAAACAGGGCAATCCTTATGATGTGAAAGAAATCACCTCTTCTCTTGTCTTCCTGGCTCTAATGTGTAAACAGGAGGCCCTGATTTTGTGCCTAATTGGTGCTTATTATGCTTGATTGCTCTGACATGTGTTTTCAATACTCTGGACCTCTGTTCTCTGGGCACTTGTGGGCAATGAAGACATAAAAAAGAGAAATGAAAAGTAGTCAAGATTGCATTTGGGGTTACAACTCGTGACAACATGTTCTATATCTCTTTAAGCTATATTAATTTTACACAACTATAGCCATCCATTTTGCTCTCAATTGTTTGGCTCATTTGGTTCATTGGAAGTTACACCTCCCACACAACATTTTTACCTTCATTTATTCCTTTAATAAACATGTAAATGGTTGGCGCAAAGTAGGGAGGGGATAGAGGAGATCTGTATAAACTAGCATCAGAACTACACATGGCTTCAGCCTCATAACCTTTAACCATTAGCCGCCCGGCCAATGGCCGTTTGGCGGCTTCAAAAGTGTCTCTGCACTCCGGGTGCACGCCATTTGGCGTGCTCCCGCACATGCGCAGTTTTTGCGCTAATGCAGAGCGGCGCAGCAGTGCGATCTGTCACCGGCCGTGCACCTGGGACACGGCCGATGACAGATCCGAGTACCGGCTCCCGTTGCTGGTACCATGTGACCTGCTGTGACCAATCACAGCAGGTCACATGACAGTTGTATACAATGGATGGCTTCATTCATGATGCCATCCATTGTATACTAGTGCCTAGCTGTGAATGGTCACAGCTAATCACATGCACATGTCAGCTGTGACCAAATCACAGCTAAGCACAAAAAAAGCTGAATGAATCGATTTCATTCAGGTAAATGCTTGCTTATAGCAAAGTAATTCTTTGCTATAAGCAAATTGTGTAAAAAAACAAAAAACAAAAAAAAAACTGATCACTTCCCCAAAGTAGTACAATGTTACTATGGTAACATTGTACTACTTTGGTCATAGTAAAATATGAAAAAAAAATCTTTAAAAAAATAAAAAAAATGTAATAAATTAAATATAATAAAAAATAAAAAAAGTATATATATTTTTTTTCTTCATACTGTCACCAGTCAGTGTCCCTGTTCACCGCCATACCAGTTATATGATGACGCTGTACTGCACTGGTGACAGTATGTAAAAAAAAAAAAAATAGTGAAAATTTTTTTCATTTTTCAAAAAATTATGACAAAAATACAACTTCAAAAAACTCGCCATGCCTCTTATGAAGTACGTCGGAGTGTGTCTACTCTGCAAAAAGGGGTCATTTGGGGATATCTGTACTATTCTGACATTCTTGGACCTCAAGAAATTAGATTGGCTGTCAGTACTTCAGGATTGATCAATATTCAGATCTATACCATAGTTTGGTGAAAATAACCCAAATTAGGATGTATTTTTTAGTTTGTAGGAAAGTTTAGAGTTCACAAAGACATGTAGCAGAATACATCTCGGCCTAAATTTATGAAGAACAATTATTTATTTGTAAACTTTTATAACAGAAACAAAGTTTTTTTTTTTTTTTTTTTCAAAATTTTTGGTCTTTTTTTTTTGTTAATTTAGCAAAAAATAAAAAACCCCAGCGGTGATTAAATACCACCAAAAGAAAGCTCTAGTTGTGTGAAGAAAATGATAAAATTTTAGTTTGGGTACAGTGTTGTATGACCGTGCAATTGTCATTCAAAGTGTGAGAGCGCTGAAACCTGAAAAATGGCCTGGGCAGGAAGGGGTAAAATTGCACGGTATGGAAACGGTTAAAGTATAACTTTTTTTTTTTTTTTTTTTTTTTTTTGGATAAAGCAGGGAAAGTTTAAGACCCTTACCAAGTTTTTTTTTTTAAAGCTCTGTCCCTGCCACATTGATTTCTTGGGGTCAGTATCAGGTTTTTATCAGTATCTGCTACCACTTTGACACACCTTGCCTAGGCAAAGATGATGTCCTTTTCCCTGCCAACTCCCCATCTGCAGGCTGCAGGACAATTCACAACGCACTAAGTGAGCTCACAGATGCACAGTGGGGAGCCAGCTGTAGTTCCTTACAAAGTTACAACTGTCTCCTGTATCCAAGATGGCATCACCGGGTAAGAAGAACCAGCTGCAGGTAGACAACGCTGGATGCTGTGGGAGGAATGATGCCCAATCATTGGAGTCTCTGGGAGGAATAGTGCCCCACACTGGTGTCAGTGGGAGAAATGGTGCCCTTTACTGGTGTCAGTAGAAGGAATGGTGCTCCATTATTCTGTCAGCAGATTGAATGTTGCTGTAGATGGATAAAGGCTAAAAAGGGCCATATCCAGCCCATGAACCTGTTTGGAGACCCTGCGTTAGATCTTTGCTGCATGGAAACTGTACTGCTAAGCTATGATACTGAGCGTTGGACATAGAAACAAAAAGTTTCACATTTTAAAATAAGTAAATAAGTGTTATTAGTTGTATATGATAATTCCAATAGATCTTTTTTTTAAGACAATGTTTACTTGTAAAAAAAAAAACACAACATTGCATCAGTGATCTACTCTATTCTATTGGGTTCTCTAGTAATATTTTTTTTTATATTCCTGCAGGGTCAAGTCTAAAAGACTTTATTTTAGAGAACATCGTATAAAGGATACACAGCTTCTACATAGTACCAAATGGGCTCCAGCTAAATCTCTACACAATCAACAGGATGGAGAGAAAACCAGCCTGCAGTGAGAGCTCATCCTCTGGTTCTGAGAAAGAGCCCTTGACATGCAAGACCAGGTCAGAATGCAAAAAGGATGGTCAGTTGCTGAGAAACTGCAAGGCATCACGACTGTCTGAAGAGCACAACAAGGTGCACCCCTGCCCGGGAGAGAGAGCAGACCTTGGGCACATGTCTAATAAATATTTAGCTGTACAGAATCCTGATGCGCCTTGCAATGTTACCAGAAATGGAATAGATGAAACTTCAACTCCAACACTTACTGTCATTCCCTCCTGCAGGGCTGAGGTGCATCACATACAAACAGAGACAGGCGAAAGAGAGACTTGGAGCAAAAAAAATAGACTTCCTCCTATCTGTTATTGGGTATGCAGTGGATCTAGGCAATGTATGGAGGTTTCCTTATATCTGTTACCAAAATGGAGGAGGTCGGTATGCCTAATAGTTCTATTTATGTAATAACGTTTTTGAAGCTTGCTGAATTATATTTTATTGCAGAGCGATCCCTAGGTTAAATGGTTTTTAGCTTTCAGTAAAAACAGGAAAGTGTGTGCAGTGGGAACCCTTTTGATTAAGTGATGCTAGCACTAGTTGACTTACTACGTATACTTGAGACCATGGCAGATTCCAAAACCAAAAATGATACTGTACATATTGCCGTTTACCAGTTCTTAGATGTGGTGGCTGCTTTAATTATTTTTTTTTTTTTAGGTTTAGTACATTTTCTGCAAGCACAGAAAATACCTGTTGATCTTGCCAGAAATGCAATATTCTTGTGAATTCCTGTTCACAGAACTGATATCTCAGACATTGTAATCCGCTTTCCCAGCTACATTCTGTAAACTACAAAACCACCCTAATGCAATGTAGATGAGACTAGGAGAATGTGTTTGTAGTTAAAATCAAGAGGGCAGCCTAGGGCCTGCAGGCAACTAATCTAAGTGTTCTCTGTTTTTGCTTTTTGATATATTTTAAAGTGCAAGCTTTGGATTTCTTTATCGGGCATGATACACTACTGACCCTGACAATCATGCATTTATATATAAAACGTTAGTGGATTGCAAGTATTATCATTCATGCATTCAGGTAACGTTTATGTTCAACTATTAAGAGCATCAAACTGCAGTAGACACATTGGGGTTGATTTACTAAAACTGGAGAGTGCAAAACCTGGTGCAGTGGTGCATGGTAGCTAATCCGCTTCTAACTTCAGCTTGTTCAGTTAAAGTGTTCCTAAACCCAGGACCCTGCATTCACTATACACAGTACACAGAACATGGAAATGCAATTATTTCAGTAAATACAAACTGCTAAGTACCTTTTTTCATCAGCAGTCTTGTGACTTCTGTCAGTGTCCTGCAGAGCACTGGTTAAAGCTTGTAGGAAGAGTTTTCATTCTCCTTTGACTGTCCTATGATGCTGCATGACCTTGACTCCCTGTCTGAACCGTGCTTATTGGCCCTGTGCTGATCACATGCACCCTTAAAAAAAAAAAAAAAAAAAAAAAAAAACTCTCTAGCAATATACAGCAAACTGAGTATGTGTAGTACAGTGCCTCCTAGGGCTCTGTACTATTAGCAGATCGATTGGGGTCAGTGAAAGAAGGGGAGGATCAGAGAAGACAGAATCAAACAGCCTTTCTAAACAATGCGGAGAATTAACCCCTTAGGTTCCACAGTGAGTATAACAAGCATGCTTTACTGCATATACAGAATGATTTTACTGTTGTGGGTTTAGTAACACTTTAAAGCATGATTGTCTTACACAGAGATTGCAGTCAATTAATTCTTCCTACTGAGTGACTTCTTTTTGAAGGGTCAGTGAACCTAACCTACAAGTTACCTTTATCATGAAGCAAAATTGAAAAAAATAGACAATAATAGATGTACTGTACATGTAAAGGAGAGAGAGTGTAAGGGGGCTTCTGATTGGTCTCCAAAAAAAATGGAAGCTGGTTGGTTTCCATGCAGAGCTGCACTGGATTTTAGTATTTTTTGGTCATAAGAAGTATTGATGTTCTTCACTTCAGATTATTGTGAGATAATGACAGAATTTTTTGGAATTATGGTAGGGTCATAATATGGCATAAACATGAAAGCATGGATCCATCCTACCTTGTATCAACGGTTCAGGTTGGTGGTGGTGGTGTAATGGTGTGGGGGATATTTTCTTGGCACTAGCAAGGTGTACCTAATAAAGTGGCTGAGTGTATATAGATGTGACAAACCCACTGACTTTGTATATCGGATTGTAATACTGAATCTTGATGTACCAAGCAACAGCATGTTATACAGACGTACATATGCAGCTGTTCGTTTGTTCAGTAAACACTATTAAAAGGAAAAAAACATTTAGAACTCATTTTAAACTCTTCTATTTTTGAAAAGAGTGTAAAAGGTTGAGATTTGTCCTGCTTATCTGTGTTCCCACTGGGAAACCTTTCCCTTTTCTTCCTATTCCATGACACAACAGAAATGGACAGGAAACCTCACCTCTACATTTGTCCCTAAAACAAGTCGTATATTTTACAATTTTCTTCTGATTTGGCAGCAACTGTAGAATTCTTCATTTTTCTTCACTTCCTAGTGACAACGGTCATTAGGACAAAAAGTAAGAGTGCATTTCTGAAACAGGGATACAGCAAAAAGAGGCTCTAACCCAGGGGTAGGCAATTACTTTCCTCAAGGGGCCACATGAGAAACTGGGACTGATGTGGAGGGCTGAACCAAAGTTTAGTGTATAGTAAAGAATATTTTGATTAAACCAGCAGTCCTAGGTGGCCAACACTGCATCAGGAAGGTCCATGAGTATGAAAACATATAGATAATAAACACTTGGGAAAAAAAAAAAAATAAACACCCGGCACTAGGAATAATAGGTACAAACTGCTGATCAAATAGCGCACTGCTATAAATCCCATAGTTCAAAGTTCATCTCAGAAGCAAACCAGGGATAGTGGCTATGTTACTACGTACAATGGGGCCAAGGAGAACAAAATTAGCCAGCCTCTAACAGGAAGGTCGGATCACAGCAGCAAAAAAAAGTAATTGGGAAATTTTGAGGAGGCTGAGGACAAAGATATTTTGAACAGAGTTTAGTGTCACTTTAACATTTCTTATTTGCTCCATTTTGGTTTGTAAAAGTGGCATTGTAAGCATTTTGTTATATCTGATACATAAAAAAGGTTGATCTTGTCCGAAATTCAGAGTGGTCTTAGGGCGCCAGGGTGGGGGGGGGGGGGGCGATAAATAGCACCTCCGCCTGTGTAGGCCCTGAGTGGGATGTCTGCTATGTGTGTAGGTCCAATCAAGGATAACTTTGTGGATTGTCGGAAGATTTACTGCAGCGGGAGCTCTACCCATGCCAATGCAGCCCATGCCTATGCCGAGCACGACATCCCCAGAATCCAAGGCACGTCTGGAGGGATGGCATGTTTGTCACAGCACTGGCTGCACCTGCAGGGACGCCCACAAGTGCCACCAGCTGGGATGTGATGCCAAGTATGGAAAAAAGGCTTAGCAGAGGCAGGTCTGCGGTGGGGAGGACCTGGGACAGGCTGAGGCTGGAACTCCACTGAAATAAAATGCTGGTGCTCGGGGCCCAGGATAAGTGGAGGGAGGGTAGACATCAGCTGTTTGCAGCAGAGATGCTGCCCTGAACTTCTGACTCACAGAACCTGTAGCCTAGCATGCAGCTCCTCACTACTCCCCGATCTGGGCACCCTGTGACACTGCTGAATGAGGCTCATCATGCAGTGGGGCTGGGATCTGAGGTCATCTAGTAAAAACCCACCTCCTGGATCATGTGCTGCCCATCCCTACCTCACATTTGCTTCTTAACCCTGTGCCTGCTGAAATGCCATCATCCCCATCACCCCCACACATAGGGGTTCTGCCCTTTTTAAGGTGTCACTCTCCCTTTAAATTCAGTAACCCCCCTTCCTTACTCTTCCAGTGGCCTTTATTCCAAGGAAGGGTGATCATGGTAAAAGCCCTGTCATACATCTGTCAGTGGCAGCAACTTACCTCTAAATAACCCATGAAGGGGTGTGGGGGGGTCTTCAAGGTTTTGCAGTGACTTTTGTAGGCTTCTGCATGGTGTGGAATGTTATAGGGACAGCCAATCACAGCATTGCCTGTCCCGGGCACATCTCGACACACAGCACATTTACCGAACAAGTTACACACCAATCTGCTGCTCATGTTGCCAGGGCTGGTGCCAGCATAAGGCTGCTTGGGCAGCTGCCTTAAGGTGCCAGAATGGGATGTGGAGGGTGGTAACTGTTTCTAAACCGCACATGTCATCAATTGTGAACAGGATAAAATCCTGACCTGAACCTGATCTAAACCTGGCCTGAACCTGATGTAACCTGACCTGAACCACTGAACTACTGTATCAATTAGCTTTGAAACATGAGCTTCAATCCACACCACACATGTGTGAATCCAGTCGTAGTGTTGATGGGGGAATCCCATCTGCAAAGCTATTGTGTTCTTCCAGCAAGGGGGCACGAGGAATCCATCCCTGCCAGGAGAACACAGTGATTATCGCATGAAAAAGCGGAGGTTAGAAGCTGATTGGCTACCATGCACAGCTGCACCAGATTCTGAGTGCAACACTGTTAGTAAATCTACCCCTATATGTCGTGATATACAGGTGAAACTCAAAAAATTAGAATATCGTGCAAAAGTTCATTTATTTCAGTAATGCAACTTAAAATGTGAAACTAATATATGAGATTGACTCATTACATGCAAAGCAAGATAGTTCAAGCCGTGATTTGTCATGGTTGTGATGATTATGGCTTACAGCTCATGAAATCCCCAAATCCACAATCTCAGAAAATTAGGATATTGTGAAAAGGTGCAATATTCTAGGCTCAAAGTGTCCCACTCTAATCAGCTAATTAAGCCATAACACCTGCAAAGGGTTCCTGAGCCTTTAAATGGTCTCTCAGTCTGGTTCAGTAAGAATCACAATCATGGGAAAGACTGCTGACCTGACAGTTGTGCAGAAAGCCATCACTGACACCCTCCATAAGGAGGGAAAGCCTCAAAAGGTAATTGCAAAAGAAGTTGATGTTCCCAAAGTGCTGTATCAAAGCACATTAATAAAAAGTTATGTGGAAGGGAAAAGTATGGAAGAAAAAGGTGCACAAGCAGCAGGGATGACCGCAGCCTGCAGAGGATTGTCAGGAAAAGACCATTCCAAAGTGTTGGACTTTCACAAGGAGTGGACTGAGGCTGGAGTCAGTGCATCAAGAGCCACCCCACACAGACAGATCCTGAACATGGGCTTCAAATGTCATTTTCCTCTTGTCAAGCAGCTCCTGAACAACAAACTACGTCAGAAGCGTCTTACCTGAGCTAAAGAAAAACAGACCTGGTCTGTTGCTCAGTGATCCAAAGTCCTCTTCTGATGAGAGCAT